TAAATAGATTCCAATCTGAAGATATTTTGTAGGTATGGTGGATGAGGGCATGGATGGTTCCAGTTTTGTATCTTTGAGGGCATTCACTTTGGGCGTGGAGGTAGATTCCCTAGACAGATGTGGCGTATGTGCTGTTGTTGGCGTCGATATGTACATCCAGAAAATTGATGGTTTTGTCAGTGGCTATTTCGTGGGTGAATTTAAGCACAGAGTTGTCCTGTTGGTTTTGTCGGAGCTTCATTAATTCATCAGTGTCTATGGTAACGATGAAGCAGTCGTCGACGTATCTGCAGTACAGTGCGGGGTGGTGGTCCTGCAGCACTTTGTTTTCTATGTGACACATGTAAAAATTGGCGAAAGTTACTCCAAGAGGAGAGCCCATGGCAACTCCGTCGACTTGCTGGTATAGCGAACCATTGATATGTTGAAAAGGTGACTTCGTAGTACAGGTGAGTAGAAGTTCACGCATTATTTCTTCAGGTATTTTTGGTGAAGACATGGTCGGTTGTCTGTAAACGTTGTCGCAGATTATGTCTATCATATCCTGGACTGGTACATTGGTAAATAATGATTCGACATCCAAGGAGGCGAGTAGTCCTTGTGGATTTGTGGCATGTAGTAAGTGGAGGAAGTCGTCTGTAAATGTTAGCATGTGTTGGGCAGGCATATACGGAGTGATGATGTGGTTTAGGTCTTTGGCAGTCTTGTATATAGGGGTAGGAATTTGTGATATGATTGGCCGTAGAAGGCTGTTCTGTTTATGAGTTTTTACGGTTCCGTAGATATATCCATGCTCGTAGTCTCCTACGATAGGTTGGAGAACCTTTTCTTTTGCTTGTTTGTTGACAGTGGAGATCAATTTATTAACGTCTGTTTTTAGTGTTTTTGTCGGGTCAGCTCTAATCCTCTTAAACTTGCTATTGTCCGATAGAATGGCGTCCAATTTTGTCTTATATTCCTGTTTGTCCATGATCACTAGAATATTAGCTTTGTCCGCACGTCGCACAATGATGTCGTCATGGTTTCTGAGTTCCTTAGCAGCAGTACGGAGTTTTGGTGTTAGCAGGGGGGTGTTGTCACGGTCACGTCGTTTCGTGCTTTCCGCGCGTAGTTGGTCCCGCAAGGCTGGATTTATGGCAATAAGGTCCTGTTGTTGTAGTTGTATAAGAGAGCAGTAGAGTTTTTCAAGCTCAGCGGCTTTGATGTCTTTGTCGAATTTAGGTTCTCTTATACAACTACAACTAAATCATCAAAGATAATGGTGAAGCCATTTTTAAAGGTGAAGTTAATGTTCACTGGTAAATCATTGTCAGTACTGTTGCATTTTTTTTCAGTCCTCTTGACATGTTGTTTCTCCAACAATTTTTTTTTTTGTAGAGATCAATTTATATCTAATAGTTATAGTTTGTTTTCAATTTCAAGTTCTTGTATTTGTTTAAGTTGTTTTAATGTAATAGACTTAACAAATATTAAATTTAAAAGAAAAGGATTTATGTAATACTAGTTGTTTGTCATTACATGATAGCATACACTGTTTGCTAAACCTAAATATACTTACTTGATCTTTAGTGGTAGAAGAATATTCTTGTAGCTTTCAAACAAATGTACTCTGACAGAAAAAAATTATCAGGAATTAAAAGAATATCATCAGAAACTACAAAAAATTATAGCCTCTAATTTTTAAGAAATATTTGAAACTTCTTTCTAAGGTTGCTTCATTTCCATTGACCACATCTATTTCTCATTTTTTCAAAAGTACGACTAATTTCCACATGATACTTTTGTATCATCGACTATGAGAGCAATAAGGATTACATTCTCTTCTTTCTGGTGGCTTTAACTTCAGGCTAAGTCTCTTTTCAAATCTAACAGCCATTCAAATTTCTCAAAGCCTCCATGGGCAGTACTATAAATGTGAATTAAATTAGTAAATTCACAATTAAGAAAATAGAATTCATAGAAACATAAATATCAAGCTAAACAAATTTTTAAATTTGATTAAAAGAAATAAATATAAACCTAGGAGCTAGTAAAAGGTTTCTTTAATCTAGAAATGTGATGTTTACATTTCAGACACCTAAAGATACGACTGAAATGACAGCTTAAACATTTTGTTTTAATATTTTTTCATGAAATAAAGACTAGATATTAATTATGTAATGTTAAAATATCAGTTCTACATTATTTTTTATAAATAATTATTGAAATGAAAATATAATTTATTTTTTAATTAAATTTTAAAAGTTTAGTTGTGAGTGCACTCACAGTAACCCTGAGCAGTTGATTTATCTGATGGACCTTTCTTAACATGCCTCAGGCTAGCATTTATATTGACTTGCACTGAAAGAAACTGCCATTATTTGTAGTATTAAATTTAGAATATAAATATATTTTAATTCTTTTTATTGATATTATCAATTTTTATTTTGTAAAAACATTGACAAAAGATTTTTAACATCAAAAACTTTTGTACCATATATTGCATAATGTTAAGAAAGAAATTGTATTAGCTATGTAAACTTGTTAAAAGTTGCTTTCATTTTTTATAAAAGTTTATTATTTTAAGATTTCTTCAAAGACAAATTCTATAATTCTTAAATATATTCATTTTCTTTATTTTTACCAGTCATGAAAGAGTATTAGAAGCTATCACCACTAGTGCAGAGCTTGAAGATAGAGATAGATTTAGTGCTATTGTTCAGGGCCTTGGAAGAAAAGACAATGATGCACTACGTGTAAGTAACTGTTAGTTACTAGCTTTCTTACCAGTGTGTGTGTGTGTGTACTGCCAATTTCTACAATTTAATTGATGAAATCAAAGTAGCCCAAATTTTAACTGAAATTAGGAATTACACCAATGAAATTGAAAGTGGAAAAAGTGCTTAGGCTCAAATTTATTAACATATCTCGGTATATTTAGATTTTCATTGTTACATATTCTATTGGTGAAATGTCATGTATACATAGTGATAAAATACATTTCTGTCAGAAGCCATTTGTATTTGTTGGAATATAAAAAAATCTTAGAAGTTTTTTAAATGCAAGTCCAAATAATATCATGTTTAAATGTTTGATATAAGCCAGGCTCTTTATACCTTTCACTGTGACACTCCATAAAAGCCATTTTTTTTCTTCTCCTTCATTAGATGTACAAGTGTATTAATTTCTGTGTGCTGGCCCAAAAGGTCCTGCTTATAGTATGAAAGACTATTTTATTGGACTCCCCTAGTAGTGAACCCTCTGTATACCACATCATTTTGCACCTTATTTATACCACTTTGCACTTCAACTTAAAAGCAATAGTATTGTGTTCAACTGCCTATATATTTAGTCAACTGACAAAAAAAAGAGCCTCAACGACTGAAAAACAATTTTCTTTACATCACTTCATTACAGAAGTTGCAGAATCGAAGCTGTATCACCAGCAGCTAACCCTATCTTAACTGCCATCTCTGTGATGGTGGTTCGTCTTCAGATTCTTCTGATTTTAGTTCAGATGAAGCACCACTTTCTTCTTCTAGCTGTTCTTCAACTCGATCAACATCATTTCTGATCCACTACTTTCTTCCATGTGAGCTATATTTTCTTGTTCCCCACCCTTGGATAATGGCTATGTGTGAGATACTTTTATCCCGATTTTCAACCTTAGGGTGAGATGTGTAATAGAATCAGTGTTAGTAGAGTGTCTACTTCACCACACAGTAAATGATGACAACTAAGGTTGCTCATTGGCTTGTATTGTGTTTCAAACTGTTCCAGGATTTTCTGGAAATAAAGCTCCTAACTTTTCTGCACATTTCATGAGAAATGTTACATCAGAAATCTAAAACAAGATGGAGTGTATAAGTACGTACAAATAGGAATCAAAACACTCAATTCAAAATTCTTAAGGTTGGAACAGTACAAATTTATGGTTATAATAATGAAGAAGGTACTGTCTGTCACAGCTGCTCTGGCCCAACCTGGTAAGTAATATAGGGTTGGAGTGGAGTGCAAATGCACCCAGCTGGTACGTGGAGTAATTTATAGTTTTCTTTTAATAGACATTTAAATATATTAAATTTTCAGCTTGTATGTCTAGAAAACAATTTATATTTACAGAACATCAAATCTTAATGTGATTTTTGCCTGGTATGCCCTATGATGCTCAGGATCTTCTAACCTTTCTCATTTTCCAAAAGAACATATTAGTGTATTAAATGTTCTTTATCCCAAACTATTCCTTGTGTAACCAGTTATACCATTTCAAATTAACTAGCCAATTCATTTTTGAGCTGTTGACCATATGGTTGATAATAGTTAATACTACTACTAAATAGTTCTTTAAACATCAATAGCTCAATTATTTATACATTTTGTTCTATTAGTAGCTCCTTTTTTTCTTAAATGTTATGTAAGTATATCTAATTTTGTATGAATATGTCCATCTAGTCTCAAATTCAAGCTTGACCTGAGTTGCACCTGTCAATTTTGCAAAACTTTGAATTTTCCATGTTAAATGCTTTTTTTTATGTCAACCGTGCCTAACTTTTAAAGATAAGCATATCAGGTTTATATAATTATGTATAATGGGAATGTAGTTTAATATAAGTTTTTTTGCTCAAGTTAAACTGCTTTAACATTTTCTGCATGTTTACTACTAACTAGCCAAAAGCAAGTATAATTTTGTTAGCAGTCTTCCTAATTTTTATAATTTAACATATACTTTGCATTTTTTGTATAAACATTTTAATTCAAGTCAAAGAAAATAAGGTTATTAAAATTATCTGGGCTTTGAGTTACTGTGTTGGAAGTTTTGAAACTGCGTAAATATTGTTACATAAAGTCAAGTCAATATTTGTTTATCAGTTTTAAGATTTCTTGTCCAAACTTTGCACTTTTAATAACAAGAAGCTAAAGCAAGTAAATGAGAGTGGATGTATATAGAAAAAATCTAGTTAAAATGATGATAATGTTTTTGGCAAGCACTACTTATCAAGGCTTAATAAAATGTAATGTTAAATTTCAGTTGTTTTTTACTATCTTTATACTAAAAATAAATACCTAAACCTGCCCTGTAAAATATCAGGTCATGATTTTGTAACATGGTGATCCAGTTTTATTGCTATCTTGTTAATAAGTTCAACATTTAGACTAAGTTTCCACTAAGTGAGTTTAGTGCCTGTTCAAACACAAATGAACAGAAAACATAAAAACAAATCAATGTTTTCTATCATCTGTAGTCAGGTATAAGCTGTGAACATTTAAATTTTCTTTGTCTTTTAATGAAACTAAGTAAAAGTTTTAATAGGAATGACATGCTCTAAAAACTTTTATGTGAACACAAAAAAAGTACTTTTTTATAATTTTACAGCTTAAGGCTAGAAATAAGTATCATTTTGATCAGATTATCAATTTATTTGCTAGAAAAGTGTAAAACAATTTCTCTGATGTTCCAGAAGTTTACTAAAATACTGAGAAATTTGAACTTGCTTCTGTCAATATGGAGATTAATTTGATAGGATTGTTTTCTTTTTAATACTCTTTTGCTCATTAAAACAGTGGAATACAAAGCTTTTATTGATGGAAAATCATTCCTATGTAAGTAACAGTACATTTTTAATCTGCTATTCAAAAGCTGTCATATAAGCAGGTACCAAAATATCTAAGGGAAAAAAATTAAGGTAAAAATAATTCGTTTCGACTTTAAATGCAACTTGTATATTTTTAATGTACTTTTTTTCCAAGTTTCTTTTTGAAAGAAAGTATTGTGTGGATATGTATATATATATGTATGTATGTATGTATGTATATATAATGTTTTCCAGGGTTCCTGTTTTGCCCTGATTAATTGTATCGTCAGTACACCAGATGACCTAGAATTCAAGTTACATTTGAGGAATGAATTCATGCGTTCAGGTTTAAGTGATATTTTAGAGGTAAGAGAATCTTGTGAATTTTGATCTGGAACTTAATACTAAAAACTAAGTTTAAGAATGATCAGCTTGTTTTTGTTTGTTTTGCCATTAATGTAGTGATCTTTAAACATTAGTAGTAGTAACATAATTACTAATTAATTTTCAGCTTACCTGTAGTATGACATTAGTTTACTTATATTTTATGTTTTAAAAACATAAAATCTGACATAAGTATTGTACTGTGCATATGACTTTAAAAGATATTTATGCATGAATATAATTTTTTTGCTTTAGATTGAAATTTAATTAGTTGCACAATAATATATGATATTTTTTGTGAACCAAGCATAGAAGGAAAAGTAGGTTATTGATTTACAGTAACTTTGTAATTTGTGTAATTCATACTCTTACAATTTCTTGCAAATGTTTGATCTAAGAAAATACCTAAGAAAAGCCAAAATAGAAATTTACATTTATTGTAAATGTTTCTGTTTACTTTTAGTTGGAAGATGAATTGTTGTTGAATCCTAGTCTTAAACAATTTAGAATAGATATATAATTCAATGTTAAGATCAAATATAACACTTCTTTATCAATTTATTTCTTGGTGAAAATCAGTATACTTGTTTCGGACATTTGAAGATTTGTAAATCCCCGAGTTTAAACGAAGAATATTTTTATGCAATTTTCAAAATTAATGTAAATGTTTTAATGAAGATAAATATCTCTACTTTTAGGATTTGCAAGCTGAATTAGGTAAGGAACAGGATAGTAAAACTGAAGAACTTAGTATTCAGCTTAAAGTGTTTTTAGAAGGAAAAGATGAAGATCATGATGAATTTTTGCAACGATACGACCTTGTCCGTTTTGAAATGGAGTATCCTTTTTCCTGTAATTGTGACTACTCTGTTAAGTTAGAAGAAGATTTTCATTTCATTTTGATTAATTTAATGAGATAAAACTTAAACTGGTCTAACATTTTTTATGCATACGATACTGGATTGAGTTTGTCTATCAATAATATTGAAATGTCTATCTATATATTGAAATGTTTATCAAACTCATCTATACCATTAGTATTTGAATGAATATGAGTATTTAATAAAATTTCACATTCATTTTTTATATTACCTTATGATATGATATGTTTAAATTAAAATATAACGTAAAACTTAATTTTTTCATTAGTGTTTGAGATGTGTTTGTAGAAAATCAATGTGTAACTTTATATTCATGCAACTTTTTAGATTGAAAAATACCCTTATCCATATAAGAAGAGCAGGTTATTTGAACAAATAGAAAGACTGGTAATATCAGTGATCAAAATACAGTATTGGTGGGACACATGGCAGCGAACATGTTAAAAGAAAAATCTATTCATACAGTTCACGACAAATGAAAATATGTAAACAAGGGCTGAAAGATGGAGATCTGAGGTATAAAAAACCTATATTAACATAATTAGGCAAAACATGGAATAGCATAAGTATAAGAGATGAATTTGGATTACTTAGCTGTTTTCATGTACATTGCTTTGTTATAATCTTGTTCATGTTTCATAATGCATGAAATGAATTTTATCTGAGGTCACATTTTGTTTTTGTTTACCCTATTGGTCTGAAATTAATTTCTTTTCAATGTATTTCAGTGAGAATACTAATTCTGATGGGTCACAACCAACTTTTAGTTATGAGACACATATTACAAGTGTCTACAATGAGCTACTTAAACATGGTATAGTTACCCATATAAATATCAGACACCTGGGTTAAGTAAAAAAAGAAAAGTGTGGTTGGTGCTAGGGTAGGAATTATTAACACTACTAGTGGCAGCAAACGTTAAAAACTGGTTGGAGCCCTCAAAACTATAGATTTTACTTTTTGTTCTTTAGAAATATTACTACAGAAAGTCCAAATATTCAAATAGAATTATCATAAAATCATTTTATTTGCATATACAAAAACCTTTTTTTACATAACAGTACCCCATTTTCTTTCTATTGACCCCATGACCTGAAATCATTGTTATCAGAAATTTTAATTTTTCTGTGTTGTTCAATGTGATATTGTTTAAGTATTAACTCTATTGTCATTTGGTCACTAAATTTTGCCAGTCCTTTCCATCCTTAGATGATCTAAATAATCTATAAATTTATATATTTTTTCTGTATAAACTATTTTATATGTGCATACAATATAATGAGAATATTTGGTCATATTACATGCAAGTAATAGCTAAGCACATTGTTAAGGTTAAATAAGACAGTTGAAACTGAGTAGTGTTATTAATGGTTTTCTTAAGTGTCATACTGACTTTAATATATATATGGAACTGTGAGTTTATGTATAGAACCATCACATTAATAGCAGCGTTAAAGAAACAGATTGGCTTACATATTTTAACTATATTATTTATAAAAGATTAAGAAGTATATTTTGAGTTATAGTGAGTGAAGAAAAGGGTGGCATCAGCTACTTTTCCAGAAAGAGATTTTATAATGATGTATATTGATTACAAGTTCACTTGTATACTTTCATAAGGAGCTATTAATTTACAGTTGCAAAATATATTCTCAATAAACTTGATTGTTGTGTTTTAACTTGGTGTCATGCATATATAACATTGTTTATATTTCAATTGTCAGTTGAATTTCTATTTTTGTACAAATTTGTAAGCATAATATTGCCTTGTATTATACAAAAGAAATGGACAACAAAATTATCATATGAATGTTGTACTAAGTAAACTTAATAGAACTGTGTAATGTGTATTTCATTTTCTTTATAGTCATTTTGGTGTTTTATTTTACAAACATACATATCTGTACTTGTGTTATGGTTGTCATCCTTGACTCATTTTCTTAGTGAGCCCGGTGAGTGTTTTGAATTAATTAAACAGACTGTGACAGACACAGCTGCTGAACCCTACTTTTTATCCATACTCCAACACTTACTTCTCATCAGGGATGATGCATTAGCTCGGTAAGTCTAAATATTTATGTAAACACGTTCAAATATAAGTTATTTAAGCTGTAACATATACTAGCCAGGCAAGTAAATATATATATAATATTTACTTGCCTAGCTAGTATATGTATATAGATCATTAGTTGTCAACATGGTCACTAATGAGGGCCACATATGTAGGTTGTTCTAACTTCCCACTAATGGTAGTTACTGTTGTATACTTGTTTGTGTGTTTTTATATAGAAATTGAAATAAAAATCAAAACATTATAAACTACTGTTAGATGCATCTTTATATATTATAGTCTATCCCAATTGAAGTGTTTTTTGTTTTCCTTCATTTACTTTTTAATTATTGATAATACAAGGAGGTTGCATATGAAACTTTGGTACTTTACAGAAAAATTTTCTGTTTGAGCTCAAAACTTGTTTACTTGCACTTTGCTGTGGCCCAGATGAGACACTGCTCATTGCATATATTTTTCTCAATCATACAAGTTAGACAAATCAATTAAATAACAATCTTCCAGAAGTTTATTCATCACAACAGTCTTCATATACTATTTCTTACATACACACCAGTGGACAGCCATGCTATATTTCAACAAAAAAAAGTATATTCAAATTCTCTAGAACATATAGGTAATTGAAAAACCTAAAACAAATCATACAAAAAATACAAAAGGCAAAATAAAAAGGGACTAAAAAAGAAAGATGACACACATATATGAGCTAAGAACATTACCACAAAAAAAAGATAAATTATTAGCTAGCTCTTAACTAATAAGCCTGAATATCACAGTACAGAAGTATACTATAACGTTGCAGGTCAATGTCTAACAATTAAGTATGATAAAGAGAGTAGACAAATAACAGTTTAAGAAACATCATATCTGAAAATTTTGAAAAGTAGCTACTTTTTTAAGGATCATAAAAAAAGGTCAGTCTATTTTTGGAAATATGCTTGAGTTACAGGATTCCTTTATCAATTTGTAAAATATTTAACCTAAAGCCCCAAATCCATAACAAACTTTCCATTAGACATGCATAAGCTGCAGTTGTCTATAAATGAAGGAAATGTCCAAGAGAAAAATTGGCTATATAAACATAAAAAGACAGAAAATAGATGTTTTCACTATACTTAAGCACCATATGAAAAGCAATCTTTAATGACAACAAAATTAAAGCAAAAACAAAGAACATCGTTTCAGAATGAACACTGGAATTTTCTATGGATTAATTTTATTTCCATTTACAAATGATCTTTTTTTTAAACAACTAAGTTATTTCAATCAGGAGCTACATGGTTAGTATGAATTACTAAATTACGAATTTAATATTTTGTTGTGGTATTACTTTGTGTTTTTTGTTTGTTCTGTATCATCAAAAGTGTTATATGATTAGTTTTATAACTACGCCATTGTTTTCACATGTCATTGATATCTTAAAAGTCATGGTAAATAATGTTTGGTCAAGCCCTTTTCATATAGTGTGGTTGTTAAGGTGCTTGACTTGTAATCTGTACTACACAGAATTGACACCTGTTAATTTCATAAATTTCAAATGGACAAAAAGGAGCTTATTAACCCATCAAAGATGTCCCTTCCAGCTCCCAACTCTAACCACTCCTTACTACTCACGTATTCATCCAATCTTTTCTTGAACTCAGTTAAATTTTATTCCTACACCACCCTTGAAAGCAGCTCATTCCAAAAGCTAACCATGCTCTTTGAAAAGTAATACTGTCTAAACTGCAGACGACTTCTGTGCAGCCAAAATTTGAATTTATGACCTTTTGTCCTATTGTTTTCACTGCTAAACACAAAAAAATTTGATAGATCTATATTATCAATACCCTTAATAATCTTAAACACCTCAATCAAATCCCCTCTGACCTTTCTTCTCTGCAGAGAATACAAGTTTAGA